GAGAGAGAGAGAGAGAGAGAGAGTATCAAAATCGAGTGTTACGTATCCTCGCTGGACATAGTTCCACTTTGTTGTTCGTTTCATACAATAATTGAAATTTCTCACAAATTTTATTTTTTTCACCATTTTGTTTGCAACTTTGCGCGAATAGGTAGACTTCGGTTGCCGCTAGATTAGCTTTCGCTAGCTTGATTCTCATCATTCGATCTATCGTCGCTCCGAAATCCGTCTTTTCGCAGTCATGGCAGACAGGAAACACTTACGGATCGTCGAATATATTAGATTCGTCCTAGAACGCTACGGTAAATTATTGATAATCAATATTATCAAATAATCATGCTAGCAATTAATATTATTACTATTATATCGACATTTATAATAATTAATAATTTTTCAATTAAGTAATGCAAAGTGTAATATACCGATTATCAGTATCTTGGTACGAAATTCGCAATTTCACGAGGAGAGGAAAAGTAGAATGCACTAGTTTGAAACTGCACTAGGCTCTTATAATATCCGTCAACGTTCTAGGACCAAACTTAGACTACTTAACATCTAACGGGCCTATTCACGGGTGTCTGTCTTTGATATACTTTAGAAAAAGCAAGGAAATTTTTAGTGAAAAAGCGTCAAAAGTAAATCGCCTGGACGAATAATATGCCATAATATCAAAAAAAAAAAAAAAAAAAAACGTAGATCTTTAGTGTATTCATCTAACGGATTTAGTGAATCACGGATTTAGCCGTTACTAGCAAGTAGATGACTCGAAACGTATATACAAGTACATAATCGATTTAGACATTAGGAAGTTAAACGATACGTGCCCAATGAATATGGCCCAGTCCCTGATCGAGGCGTCGAGGAAGGATAATGCTGGGCTAACGTAACGACATTAAGAATTTAATTAACCGTTCGAGTCTCACCGAGATAAATAAACCCCTTACACGTAAGCTCCTTAAGCAAAACATACATCTCTATAACGGATGTGACTAATTTTTATAAGTATTTCTTAAAAAAAAAAATTAAAAAATCAATAATAAAAACTGAGACTCAAAGGGTTAAATAGATCAAGTAGACGAAAACGAGTCGTGTATGAGAAAGCAACGAGAATACTGATCACCAAGGCGAGTTTATCGTGTTCCAGATGAAAATGTAGGTTCAACGCTTTCTTTCTCGGCGCTCTCGATTTTTCCAATTTGATCTGTCGTAGAGTATGACGTATGTAGCGCATGCACACCCGGTACTTTGAAATGGATTGAACGTAGTTATGCGAGAGGCAGTCGTAAAATGGAGTTTTCTACCATGTATATTCCAGTGAAAAAAAAAACTACTACTTTGCTCTTCTCCATCATTGTGTGTCCAATTCTGAAACACGTGTAGTCATTACCTATTTTTAGAGGACAAAAACTGATAATCATTTCTCATGGAGACGCTATAACCAGTTAACATATTACTCGTAATGTTCCTATTTCTACGCGATACTCGTCTCCATTCGGATTCGGAAGCGAATCTTCCCTCGTGAATGATTGTCACCTCTGTCTCTGGTTAAAATAAGCATCCCCCCCCCCCAGATTAGTATACCAAAGACGATAGCTTAGCTAGATAGTAGATTAGAACCGTTTAACCGATCAAAAAAAGCACAGCGATGCATATTTATAATATTAGATCACAGTTAAAACGTTTTTAGAGCCTTAATTTGCTAGTAGGATAACTGTCCGAGTTAAGTCAAGCGAATTACAAATCTTCCATGTGAGCCAGAGTCAAGCATTTCATTCCAATGTTGGCAAGAAATTTGCATGTCCACGTATATCGTACTCGTTTAAGTTGTACTTGTAAGCGATTCAAACACGCACAGTTGATTTTTGTTTCAAGCGTATATTTGTTTTTAAAGTTTGTGTTATTTATTTGTCGAACTTGAATCTATTCGGTTCTTTTGGACTCTGGTTACATACGTTGATACGATACTTTCGGTCATAGTGATATTTTTGTGAGAATAGACTGATAGCGTTATCGATTGTTAGATTAAAAATTTTTTAGCGGTTACTTACATGTGATTTGTACGTTAAAGGTTCCCCAAAAACGGCGGATTGTAATACGCGATATATTTATTTGTGTTAGATATTAGGAAGTATAGTAAATGAAAGCATTAGATAAATATAGCGGCAGTAGATTAGGCAATCGTCAAATAAACGAAGTCACATTATTTTCTCTCAATTTCTTCGCGTTTCTAATTTATTTATTATGGTCTTCGTGGTTTCCATTAGATCGTGATTTTTATTTATAGCTTATTGTGGAGACGGACTGTGAGAGCTATTTCGATCACAATCGAAAATCTTACGCGGTACGCTATGAGAAGTTGTTCAAGAGTTTTATACGCGAAAAAAACTGTATATAACATAATTTTTAACCGAAAAAAAAAAAACACTTTAGTTTTATAATCGTAAGGCGAATTAATACGTCATTGTCATAAGTTCGATGATTTTTATGCGATCGCATTGACATTCCAAGAATGCAGTTTGGTTGAAAAGACAAGTTGTCGAGATCGATTTGTGAATTGGCAAGCGCACGAATTCAAACGTTGCCCTTGCCGCAAAAACGTCACTAGTCACTTGATTATTTACGCAGGGTATACATCGGCAACTCCGAACGTGTTTGGAAGAAAAGCGGAATTATTGTTGCATACAACATTTCTTGTGTACTAAGCCATTTATGAAATAAAATGGTTTTTTTATATGATTATGAATAAATTATATTATGTCGTTAGATCGGTTTTCCTTCATTCTTCACCTTGACAAGACAGGAATGGAAGATACTTTTCTTAAGAGCATAACATTTTTTACTATGCATAAAAAAATACACCAAGTTAAGAGGATATTTTTATTAAAAGCAGTAATTTTTCTATCACATTGTGTAAGCTTGTCTACAGAAACACATTGAGTAATTGCTATCTACAAGTGTGCATATTTAGTGATATACTTATTCTCATGCATAGAGAGGAACGGAACAAAATTTTCCACAAGTTCAAATTACGAAGAATTATTATAATTTATTATACGATTAACTAAATGTGATTTTCCAAAAATAATTTTTCTAAACAGTAATCAGTAATTCTTTAATTACAGATGGAAAACATGTGGGTCTATTGATAGAAACTCTTGCAGACATAGTTCGCACGACCTCAAGATTAACACAATGCAATGATACAATTATAATATTAATGATTTAAACAAACAAAAATTATATAAAATAGCATGAAAATTGTATATAATTTATAAATATATTTTTATATATTTTTACATATTTACACATAAGAGATGCATTTATCTCATTGATAAAAAATAATTATGAAAAAGTTTAGATAAACCAAATATATGTTTAATGTTATCAAAGCATGATTTACTTGATTTTCTCAAATTTATGCTTGATCTCATATATTCCAACAGGCTCCATAATCTTGTCACAGTAGTCCTCCCATTCACCTTCACTCAAATCTACCTCTGCAAACTCTTTGCCTCCCTCTGCAGCTTTAGCGATCCATCCTTCTCTTGCGGAGAAGTCTGAAGGTTCTATTCCTCGACAATCAAATTTAACAATTGTTTTGAATTTTCCCTGATCATCAGCAATAAAAGATTGAATGGAATCCTCTATTATCGTCATGGAGTTTTCCCGGGAGCAGAGCTTGCACTTGCTCACAAAATGATTGACACCATTGCCTCGTTGCACTGGAATAGACTCGTCCAAGGAAACGTAGTTCCACTTATCTGATGTCTCGCCACAGTTGCCACAAGTGAATTTCAAACACCATCTAAATTCATGTCCTGATGGCTTCAATTCCTCGATGTTGTCCAGTCTGCATGTAATTTGCAACGCTATTTTTACCATTTTGATAATCCTGCGGTGTTTCTGAAATCTTTTATACAAAAAATTACTTAATTATATATATATGAAACAAATCATTTGTATCATATTAGTTTTCTTACTTACGCACAGGAATACTCTATCTAGAATCTTAACTGATAAATTTGCATCAAGTCACGATACACAGAGTAATCCAGTTTTGATGAATCTGAAGGTAAACAAACCGATAACTCTCTGGATTCGCAAGAACAGTTACGTAATCAGAATTTCTAGGTATTACAATTTTGAACTTTTAAATGCACATTGTTTTTCGCATGTGTTTTACATGCATGAACATATTTAAACTCCAAAATGTTTAGCATAAATATCCAAACACGCAGGCAATTCGTCCAAATTCAACCTGATGTAACTGAGATGAATTAAGCTAAGCGAACGCGCGTTAAATTCACTGATGCCAGAATGGAAACACGGCTCCGCACAAACCGTGCAAACAACCGAGAACTACATACAGCTTTGGGCATCGATCATGTAATTTTTCTCTAGGAGCGAAAACGTGAAAAGTGAAAACTTTCATGTAAATTCGATTATTCTATTCATTGAATTTATGTGTAACTTTTATAATTAATATTATATTATAATATTATTATTATTTTGTAATATTAATTAAATTATAGAAATTAATCACAGAAACAAAGCAATAATTAAATTATATTTCATCAAAATTCGAATTTACACCTTCGGATATGCATAAATCGAAGAAACGTGCAATGTTGCTTTCGTTGCCAGTTTGATAGGAACGAGACAGAAAAAAACAATATCTTTGGTCCTCAATTGTGTGCGTCATTCCTTCCATTACGGTTTACGCGAGGCCGCGTTTCCATTCTAGCTGTCTTTTTATGCCTTTTGGTTCAATGTGACAGCAGGTAGCAGCCGATATGATACTGCTTAAACAAAGTTTCATTTTTCTCATTTATTTAACCGCATTATGGACGAGTTCCATCGCTCAGGATATTTTAGGATGCGGTGGTTTCCTAAAGAGTCACGCAGATATAGACTTCACAAAAGTGCACGTAAAACTGTAAGCATGTTTTTTTTTGGAGGTTACCAAGTAGCACTTTCAGCTAATGTACTAATTGAATTGTTAATTTATGAGATAAATTTTCGTCAGGTATACGAAGACTGGTAGTTTAAAAGATCAGACCGAGTGTGCGCCGAACACCGGCTATTATTTTCTACCTCTATATGATAAGGGTGAATACATATTAAAGGTAAAAGATGCATGATCATCTATGGTTCTCGCATTGAGACACATACAATTTATTTGTTATATTATTAGTAATATACTATAGTCTTAATGCATAATACAATTATTTTATTTTCTAAACTAAACTTTTATTTTTATATTATTAGAAATTTGTTTCACAATCTCAAATAAGAAGGGACAAATAAGGATATAAGGCAGAGTTGTATTTTTTTAGTTAATTAATGTCATTTAAAATTTATAGGAAAAATTTTACAATAGCTATTTAGTTGTTAAATACTGTAAAAGATTTTATAAAAATTGTCTGAGTTTTAACATTAGGTAGAACCTCCCAGAGGTTGGAGTTTTGAACCTACAGAGGTAGGATTAAATGTGGATGGTGTTACGGATGATTGCAGTCAGGGAAAAGATATTAACTTCACATTTAAAGGATTTGGTATCACAGGACACGTGAGTAGTAAATTCCTTTTTGTTACATAAGTATATGAGAATATATTTAAAAAGCTGATGTGTTAATTTTCTAACAGTAGTAAAATAATTTGTTATAGCTTGAATATGAAAAATTTATGTATACAGTTAATAATAAAACTTATTTTTGTGTATCTAATTATATGTAAATTATTCCATATTTCAGGTTATTAGTTTGGGTACTAACTCTGGCCCTAAGGGAGTTACTATTTCTTTATATACAGATAGCAATAAACAAGTCCCTGTTAGATCAACGGTAACAACAGAAGATGGCATATTTTATTTTACTCCCATTCAACCTGGAAAGTACATTCTTGTTGCATCTCATGCCAAGTATGTAATCTAATGGTCAATTATACAGTTGATTTTAAGGCACAAGATATCTAAAATTGCATTATATTTCTTAACAGGTGGATAATAAAAAATAATAAAGTTGAAGTAACTGTACAAGAAGGAAATACAGAACTGGCAGAAAACAGTTTGATAGTATCAGGATACGATGTCAATGGCAAAGTCACTAGTGAAAATGAACCAGTGATTGGAGTATCTTTTATTCTTTTCGGCGTAAGATTTGTTTTATTCTTTTTATCAGCAGCATTTTAATAGTTATTAATTGATTTATTTATATAATTTTTTAGGCATAAATTCCAAAGTAAATTTTATCAATATAAATTATATGGAACACAATTTTATTTTACAGAATGGTGTTGCGGAAAAATGTGAAACTACTCATGTAACTAAGGATTTTGAATCCAAAAGACCACTTTGTCACGTAACTTCGGACGATAGTGGTAGATTTATATTTCCCAGTTTGTCTCCTGGCGATTATAAGCTTATACCTCATTACGCCGGTGCCCAGACAAAGTTCGACGTTCAACCGCCGGAATTGTCTTTCAAAGTTAGTCATGGCAGTGTGACTCTCGCTCAAGATTTTAAGGTAACCGGTTTCACGGTCGACGGTCTTGTTCGTAGCTCTACGAACGGGAATCCCTTACCGGGAGCGAAGATATTCTTGTCGCAGAAAGAAATCGCAGTCACAGATAAAAATGGGAAATATGTATTAGATAATATGAAAACTGGCCAGTATACACTCAGAGCAGAGTCTGGTATGCAACATATCATGAAATTTATTATAAGATAACTTGTTGAATTTTTGGAAATTATTGTATCGCCATCATTTGTTTCAGCAAATGTACAATTCAGCGAGAAGACGGTGAAAATATCTCCCAGCTCACCAAAACTTCCGGTGCTGGTACCCTCGGCGTATAAAGTTTCGGGAAAGGTGACCCTGTCGGCGAAAGGAACATTGCATTTCCGTAAATTGTCCATTCAGAATACAGCTGCCACGTTCTACAAGGAGTTGGACACCGATGAGAAAACGGGAGAGTACTCTGTGTATCTTGCGCCGGATAAATATCAGCTGAGTGTAATTGTGAGCACGGAAGAGAAAACTAAAGGCTTACAGTGAGTATAACGAACATAATAAGTCATATGAAAACGTTTATAAAATTATACGTATGATGTAATTACATATTTTTTCAGATTCTATCCGCTGCAACAAACAATTGATGTAACATCTCAACCAATTACCAATGTCAACTTCTTACAATTGAAGGCCACATTAACAGGAACGGTAAATTGTTTGTCAGGAACAGATTGCAGCCAAGCCTCTGTCACCTTAAAAATACTCGACGGAGTTACGATAAAAACGGTACAAGCTAAAGGTGAGAGCTGACAAAAATTCGAATCATTGTTGAATTTTTTCAACATGCTTTCGTAATAACTGCAATAACAAATATGGTTTTGCAAAATAAATCTGGCCTGTCTTATAAATTTTATATTTGTAGTAAGCTCGATAGTTGCTTTATTTCAAATAACTAATGTAAAGAGCTTCCTGCTTATTTGTTATTGCAACAGTGCTTTTAATTCAATACGATACTACTGTCTCTGTCTGTGAAGTTGTTTTCCATTCCGCAGATGGCCAATACAAGTTCACGGACGTGTTACCCGGCCATTACGAAGTGTTGATAGATAACGACGTGTTCTGCTGGGAGAATCCCAGTTACAGAATCTCGATAACGTCGGAACGCGCAGAAGTACCGCCGTTTAAACAAACTGGCTTCTCCATCACTTTCATATCGTCTCACGATACAGCTGTGGAGTATTCTGAGCCCAATAACACGAAACGGATAACTCTACCATTGAGCAAAGGCAGCACGAGGCATTGTGTGCCCAAGTCTGGAGCGTACACTTTTATACCAAAAAGTTGCCATGTGTACGATAAGTCCTCTTACAGTTGGGACACGAGCAATCTTTCCCCGATCTTGCTTCATTCCACGGAACACACTCACAAAGGCAATATTATAAGCTCAAGCGCGCAAAGCGATCTCAGAGTGAAAATCGAAGACACAAACGATAGCGTCACGTGAGCATTGATTTTGACAAATCTTTTTATATATTTTTTTTTATATTTGAGTAATATTGATATCACTGTTAATTCAACGTAGATAGAATGCGTTTATTTCTATTCATTTATTTTTATTGGATAGAATTAGTCCGTTAAAACACGTAAAGATGGACAATGGATACAAATACGAGTTCGAGTTTAAGGCAAAGACTGATAATGTGTACACCATCACTCCTCTGTCAGATATTCTATTGTTCAACCCACAATCTCTGAAAGTCTTTGGCGTAAATGACTGTCACAATGATATTGCAAGTTTTGTTGGTGATTTAGGAAAGGTAGACGATATATTGGTTTAATAATTATCAATATTAATATTATTTAAAGTGATAACTATTATCGGTATATATATTTATTAAAAATAATTTATATTGTTATATTAAGAAAAATATTATTCAGATTATAGCTGGACAAATCTCTCCACCATTGGAAGATGTGACTATACAAATATTTGGGAAAGATAAAGAGTCTCCAATTCACACGTTAATTACACAGAAAGACGGTACTTACAGTATTGGGCCTTTGGATGGAAAAATCGCATACAGGTATATTTTCATCAATGTTAATTTTATAATAATAATTATTATTATTAAGAAAAAATTAGTAATCGCTTGCTATCAGTGTTACAGCTGAAAAGGAGGGTTTTGTGATCACTGGACCTGACGCTAAAGGCGTATTCTTAGCGCACAAATTAGCTGAAATTATCGTGCAAGTTTCCGATATCGCTGACAGCTCCTCGCTGCAGGTATTTTCGATGATTTCTAAAATATCAACGGGTCGAAAATATAGAATTAACACCGTATTTATTTCGCAGGGTGTGCTACTTTCCTTGTCCGGCGGTCAAAGTTATCGCAAGAACAGTATAACTAACGAGGATGGAAAATTCGTATTCAATTCATTGTCTCCGGGCGAGTATTATCTTCGGCCCATGATGAAAGAATACCGTTTCGACCCATCTTCGAAGATGATCAACGTCATGGAGGGGGCGACTGTCAAAGTGAATCTGTTTGGTAACAGAGTTGCCTATAGCGCTTACGGTTCTGTAACGTCTTTGAACGGAGAACCGGAAGTGGGCTTACTGGTCGAGGTTCAGGGTCAAACAAATTGCTCGAATCTTCAAGAAGAAGCTACGACCGAGGAAAATGGCAACTTTAGAATCCGCGGTCTCCAGCCCACGGTGAATAATTTATACTGCTTATGTAACGTACAAAACATTTTTAGTTATTAGTTTACGCGTTGCGTAACGATTTGTTAATTTTACAGTGCACCTACGCCTTCCGCCTGAAGCCGGATGTGGAAAGCAATGCTCATATACAACGCACGAGTCCAAGTTCTCAATTGGTGCAACCAATCGAGGACATTCACGGCCTGCGGTTGATCGCCTTTCATCCGATTTCGCGTACAGACGTCTCGGTGCACATCACGTCCAGTCAACCGGAACATTACCGCACCATCAAGATAAAGCTGTGCCGCGAGGATGCTCCCGACTCGCCGGTGCACATCTCGAAACTGGATGCGCAGCAATCCGCTAGCAAAAATTCCGGGCACTACAACGCCGGTTTCTTGGTGCATTTCCCGCCGTTGCAAGCCGACGGCAGGAAATACTTCGTGCAACTGGAGTCTTCGCTTTCCCAAGCCGTGCATAAGTACCGAACCGTTCCGGTTTACTTCGAGGCCAACTCGTCGTTCAAGTACGTCAAGCTGATGTTTAATGCGGAGCGAAAAGTCGATCAGAGTGATATGAATCAGACGTCAGTGGTCGCATTGCCATTTATCATATTAGTCGCGCTAGCGTTCGTCAATCGCGAGAAACTTTGGACCTTGCTGAACGCGCTGCTCGAGAGACGCTCTAAGCCCACACTGAGTTCTAGGACACCGGTTCAAGCCATTCCCATCGATCCTAGAGCGGACGATATCATAGTCGAACAAATAATGAATATCAACAAGCGGAAGACGAAGCCGCGAAAGACGTAAACCGCGTTTACTATTATTTCAAGTTATTTATTATACTTTTATTGTTTTATAAAAAATATATAAAAGATATAATGAATCGATACAACGTGTAACACATAATTCTAATACATTTCAAAATTTTTGTCAGATGAAATTTAGGCGTTTGATGAGAATGGAATATTTGTCAAATTTGCGTCTGCAGCTAGATTATCCCATATTGAATTTGAAAATGTTGATGAGAAATTTGAATTTAGTTTTAAAAAATCTTGAATGCTCTGTTTTGTGAAAATCTTACAGATGGAAACCACTTTTTCTGGAATGACGCATAGACTGCGATTATCATGTCAGTTTTTAAATGATGTATATATCCATCATTACACTTAAAGAATTAAAAAACTTTCGACATAATATTTTAAGATAAATATTAGAATGCATAATGCATCAAGTCGAACTTGCACTGCATTATCAGATATGTAAATCGTTAAATTGTGTGATATAACACAATATTAAACGCAATGGATACATACGAAAATTACTATTATATCAAATCATGTACAAAGATGTTATTAAATGTTTTTACTTTAAAACTTGACTTATTTTATTTTTACTCTGAATACGTATTTTACCCTATTTATATAAATTAAAGAACGAAAAATAAAAGTAAAATATTTAAATATTTTTAAAAAATTGATAACATTTAGATAATTTTATTTTATGTTACAATTTACAGATGATGCTCTGAGTTCTTATCATACTTTCAAATACATATTATTATTTAGATAACAAAGTAGGCCTGGAAAAAACACAATGAGATAGCGCCTTGCGTTAACAATTATTGAAATTATATATTATCTAATATTTTGTATTTCTATACTAAAATATTCATTGTGCGCCTTTATACATACCACGGGATTTGCTTGGTACATGCATTTGTTGAAATTGAAGCCTATTTCGCAATTGTTAGCATCCTCTGAAATTCACGAAGACAACACAAATAATACGTTAATTCAAATTACATGTAAAATATTAAAAATTATACAAAGGCGGTAAAAATACAAGAAATTATAATTAAAATGGCAAAGAATAAATCCACCGATCTCACGCGCAGACACCGTCCGGCATAGTGCGTTTTACCAAATACTGATACTTGCCTATAGTTTTGCATTCATTGAGCATTTCTTGTCCAATGTGTTTGACCTGTTGCGGCAACATCTTGGTCATGAGTTTGGTGTTAATTTTGCCATCTTTCTTCAGCTAATCACAAAAATAAAAATTTCAGCGATTGATTTATAATTATTATTGTGTGTGGGTTTCTTCTAAAAAATGTCTTACCACTCCTCCTTTCTCCATCACGCACTTGAAGTAACACGCTAATTTCTTGTCATCTGTCGGAAATTCGCCCAATTCTACCTTGTCTAACGTTTCTGCGATAAAAATTGTTAACATTATTAGATGATCTTGTGTAACGATGAATTTGGACAAGAACAAGAAAAAAAATCGATGCAGATTATTCTTGACGATTATTATAACGATTTTTCAGTCATTTCTCTTATGATGAATGAATTTCTTTATCTTTCATTTAACGCGATACTGTTAAAACGTACCGAGCGCTACGCCAACTTCAGCGACGCATTTTTTTCGTATAGGTGCGCCCAATTTTCTTAATTCATCATGCATAGTAGACCAATCTATATCCTATGAAAATATTATCCATGATAAATATCTCGGCAATTTTAATTAGATTCAAATTCATACTCACATCGGTAGAAACAATGACAAGCTGTGCGACGATTAGAGACGCACAAATGAGAATCAAGTTTTCCCTTGCCATTTCCTATTTCATATGTGCACACACAAAGTCGATATTTAATCAAAAATGTTTATTCGTCTACTTAAGATTACTAAGTACGCAGCCGCGCAGAATCATCGCGAATTTATGCGAATCCCAAAAACGAAGTGGGGGAAAATAATTAGCGCTGGCAAAGACAATACTCTCTTAGGAATCAGCTTGATGAATTACGCAAATGTTTAGATGCGCAGATTCAAACCATATAAATTTTACAATTTTAATTTTATTTATATTTTTTACAAATATTTGAGAACAATTTTATTTTATACACAATTGAGGTTTTCATAAAATCATTAATAATTTCTTCTTAAATTATTTCTCCTAAATTATTATTTAGAAAAATATTTAGAAAAAGCCAGATTTAATAAGAATTAATATTTCTTATTAAATATCAATTTGTTATTTTAAAGTAATCAGGAAGAATTTGCAATACTAGAAAGAGTTGGCGGTACCAGGAAGAGTCGGCAATATTTCGTGTAATATGTGTGCAGGTGTAAGCGAGAAGCGTGACGGCAAACATACATATAATTGTAACTTGTAGGAATCGTCAAGTAAAACCTGTCCAATGCTTCCTGAATAATAGTTTCACAAAGATCTCTTCCTGGTTCTGTATTCAATAATTTCACCATTTTCAAAATTATACGTGATTCTTTAATTATGAGATCTGCGTTCGCGTATGGCAGATTAATGTATCAATTAAAATGATACATACTGCTTTAAATGAAATGTTTGTTTTTTAATTATAGTCTATTTACACACAGTAACTCTGTATGTTGTGTAACTTCGCATTATCCTACGCAATCCTATACAATTGAGTCATCTTATGTCGCAAGATTTACAATCAATCAAAGATGATTAAAGATGATTAAATTTTATATAGAAAAATCTTTTAACGATCCAATATGACAGATTCATATCTATTATAATTTTATTAATGACTTTTCTGGTACGCTGCATTTTTTCATCATATCTCAGATAAAGAAAAAAAAATGACTACATTGATATAAAAGGAAAAAGGAAGGAACAGAGTCTGCTGGGGGAAATAAATATTAATAATAAAGCGACTCTCCATATGATTGTTAAGTATAGCACAGTCGTAATATTTCTACTCTGATCGTCACAAAGAACTCGTTTGCGAATAAATGTTTCAAGTGTGTTATAGTTGTAGACCACTTCTTGCATTGCATTTGATCATCAAATGTGACCTCAATCAGCAATTGGAACGTTCTACTTGTGTGTCGCAATTTGTAATATTAAACTCGATCTCATCATCAAGAGCGCCATCAATTTATTACGAATTTACTGTAATAGGCACTTTATATAAATTATACGTCAATCTTCAATATTCAATATCATAATCTGTTAAAAAGAATCTTCCGACTATTTATGCTTCTCTTGAAAAGATATTTAGCATGCCTAAATTTAAGCGCTTTGCGACAAGTATAAATTAAAAAGTATAAGTGACAGGATGGCGATTATAACAGTAGTCGGAATACATTGATTGGATCGTTGAATCTTTTATTTTATCGACACATATACGGTTCACGCAATACGGCGTGTACAGCAGTTACATAATAAAGTGGAAAGTGATTTAAACGTAAAAATCTCAACACATTCGGCGAAATTGTATCTTGAGCATTTTATCTTTGGTCTTCTTGCCGACATCCTTTCGCAACTCGTTAGAACAGATAGTAAGTCTGAAACAAACAGCGAGATCACGCGTGAAGTAATGAATTATGGCCAATCGAATTTGTTGCGACAAATCGACTTAATCGATGATTTAAAATCACTCACCCTCGGAGATTGCTCCGCGTAACATTTGTTGAACGTATAAGCGTATTCGCAATTATCACCTTTCGCTAAAACGGAAAAACGATTGGCAATTAACTGCACCATGAGAGCGTTAGACGACAAACCGTGCAATCGAAATCAAAGTTAAACGATTCAAGTAAAATTTTAAGAAAAAAAGAAAATCATTTTCAGCACAGGTACAACTTTCGAGCACACGCAATTGGTCGCAGGAATGAACGAAAAAGAAAACAGAGTAGATACCAAAATAGTTACCGATCCCCTTGCATTCACTGATCGCCTTCTCGACTTCAGCTCTATAGGCGGGTATTCTTTGGAAAAACGTCAGCATGCCATTGAGACTTAGCTCCCTTTTGTCGTCGACCAGACCGAATTGTTCCCAGAGACAATACATATAGCACTGCGAGAGAAATGAGAATTGAATAGTTTTAGTCATTTCGGAGCTGCGAGTCCTATATATCTTTGCGTTTCGTCGCTTGAATGTTTGAATAATGATTTGTTTGCAACTAGACATAATTGGCAATTCATGCGCTTTGCGCATCGGTACTCACCTTCAATTGACGTGTTTCCGGCCACTGACCATTTCTTACTGCTTCTATGTCAGCTAAAAGAAGAATTCAATATGCTCGTTGATATGTACATCTTACATTGCGGCCATAAGTTTCCTAACGCTACTGAATGCGAATACAATAAGCGCATAAATCGCACACAATAAATTAATGTCTGTCAATTTTTCTTACGTAAAACTAAACTGAATCTAATTAACCTTAAAACAAAAATTAGATTTTTGCAGAAATTGTTCTATCAATTTAACTTGGAGCAAATACGTGCAGTTTATACAAACTGCAACGTAATTAAAGGAAGATTTAAATGGAAGTGAAAAAATTGTTATCGAGTAAAATACCTGTGGCAACTCCTGTTTGCGTTTGGCAGGCATTGACAACGCTGGCCGCAGTTGCGATCATCTGATCGGAAACGAAGCTGGGTCTCGTCTGCAAAATAGACGATCATTAAGAGCAATAGATAGTAAATTGCGAGAGACGAGCGTTTTCAAACAAGCTACACTGTTCACAGGATATTTTCCTATTTACAACATCCATTCGCAACTTAGTGGAAAATCTAAAAGCGTCATTAAAATGTGATAATCACTTTGTCGCTTAAAGTATGTGATTGTCTTTATAATTATTTTAACGCCGCTTTTAATTTTTCGTTGAATTATTATTCGTTACAATAACATTCTAACACAAAAAGATGAAAAAATATATATCAATATACGATAAAATAAAACAATATTGATTCTCTTTAGTTTTTACACAAACAGACATGCACATTGTAATCATTATCTTGATAAGAAAAATAGCGTCAGAGAGAAATATCGTACGCGTATCGAGCGCGGGATTCATCCCCGGTCGCCCGGGGTCGACAGCCAGCGAGGAAAACAATCCCCTTCCATCCCCCGTCCATCAGCATTTTATCGAATTTCGCCAGAGTTTGAAGACGCATAATCGAATCTAGCTTTCTGATTCTTTTTTTAAATTTTTTTTTTTTTAAAAACCACAAAAAGATAAAAGAAAAATGTCTATCGATTAACTTTTTAACATACTTTTTTTTCACCGTACAATTTTTGAGAGGTCACAGTACTCTCGCGAGCCTCCTAGATTCGATTACGCCTCGATTTCGAAATTCCGCCACCGCCCCGTTCGCATATTTGGCACGTACCCCACAGGACACTATCCACGCTTGAAGGAGGAAACCCACGGTGATCGCAAGGAGCCTCATCCTTAAATTCTCTCTCTCTCCCGAGCTTCTTATCCTTCTTATCACTTCACGGACCTCTTTCTTCGCTAGCTAGTGGTGCAAGTGCGCTCCCTTTGCCGGCGACGTTTCCGGCGCGTGTCAACTGACGGCGTGCGGAGTGCGCGCCGTGCCCGAGGCGAGGGTGCAACTGAACGTACAGAGATGAGAGAGAAAGAGAGGAGGCGGGTGATTGGGTCCGGGGGTCGGGGTGAGAGATGAAGTACGTGGTCCAGGAGATTGAGAGAGAGAGACGAAGATGGAAGCTGTGAGCCCTGCCGCGCATCCTAGAAGCTGATTCGAGAGCAGGTTGCAAGCTGCTCTCTTTCTCTCTCTCTCTCTCTCCCTCTCCTTCGTTTTCTCGTCCACCGCCCTTGCGCCTATTTCCTAGGCGTGTTTGATTGTGTTCGATAATAGACGCTTCTGATATCAAAATGTAATTGCATGATACTGTGCAAGATACTTCAGTTGCAACGCTATGCTACGGATTTTACATGAGCTCTAAAATGTTTTACTACGAAAAGCTTTCAAGATAAGTATAATAGCGCAAATTTTAGGATTAAACAATTAAAAAAGAACGATGATCATTTATTAGATTTATAGTTAAACTTATCTCCTTTGCTCAGAATAAATAATATCAATTTTATTCGATAGATGCTGATAGATATTTCCAAATATCTGATTCTTTTAATTCTGTAGACTAAACACAGTTTCTTTGTAAATTTTACATTTGAACAAATTGTCAAAAAATTTGAAAAGAAATCTACGCTTTCATTAAAAATGATTAAAATGCATCTTTTATAAATTTATATCAATGTTAATGCAAATAATTATAAAAACATATAAAAACATTGTGTTCCTGCATTAAGAAGGATTTCTGCAAAAAATCAAGAATCAAATTAACAATATAAAATCGTATAAGTAAACGAAAATATAATTTTCTACTTAAAGGCAAAATGCGATCTACTTTTTATAATCCCTCTACGACTCTGACTTGGATAATAATGTAATCGAAACGATTTCCATTGCATAATACTGGCGCGATATAGCGCGCTCTTTTCATCGCGCAAAAATGAATTACTGTCTTCTCAGCATAGAAGCTTTCTATTCTAGGCCAGGTCACACATATACAGTGATTGGCGGATGTTACCAGTTTACGATCCGACCCTATATGATCTCTATCCTACACGATGTCGACACAAATATGAATTGTCTTTCTCTCTTCTTTTATTCCTTTTCGCCTTCGTGTAAGCATTTCGCAAAAATACACAATTATAGTGTTTACTCCTTGCTTGTATAAGCCTGAAATGCATACATACATACATACATATATATTAAAGATTGAGGCATTCGTAATAAAATCAGATAGAAAAATTTTCGGCGATTAATCGATTATGATTTTTCGTTCTTAATTTACAAACTTTGTCATTATAAGTTCCAATTAATAAAAATGATAAATAATTAAAAAAATTAATTTTACATTTCGCAGTTAAAAAAGACATGTTTCGATAGAGATAGAGATATTACATATCTAGGAGCAGTAATTTTACATTTATTCCACTGAATACCGTCGGACCGACATTATCTATTTCTACTGCGGCACGGAGAATAACTATTGTCATTTCTCTATTAAGTCTGCCAATTTTATCTACATTTTAAGTGAATGTTTTATTCAGTTTTTGTACAAAGTGAGCAAATAAAACTGATTCATTAATATTTTGCATGACCAATCGTCTAACTTACTTCATATCAGACTATATTAAACAAAAACTATCATAAGACATCTAATTAATAATTAATCGTAATAAAAATCTAACATTAATGTAGATTTAATATTAAATTTCCATTGAAATAATTAAGTATAAAATTAAATATGTAAAAAAATAGCTGATATTTAATTTTTTTTTTATTCTGCTTCCATCACCCAGTAATCAAAATGTTAGCACATTCACAGATTGACAATAAATTGCATCAATTTATAATACAATAATACACAACCTGTCAATCAATATACTGTAGAAAATGAAATATTGCATTTTATTATTCATTTCATTTAAAATACAATATTTATCCAAGAGTAGCGGATCTGTGATTTCCTCACGTGGCGAGTGCATCTATCCTCGTAAGAGAGGACAATTGACACGTGCGAGGGGTGCATTTTATGGGTCAATATAATTCCGGCGAAGGTGTGCGAGCACGTCCGAACGAGTCCCGAATAACCTCACTTCTCAGACGCGGTTGCATGTAAAATTATTGGCCACTGACAGTGCAAAACAGCAGACAATCAATTGTATTTAGCCGGCATAATTAAAATTAGCCACAGCAGCATTGCGCCATGCGAATATTTGTATTAAAATAAATCGACAAAACACAACATAGCGTTTTGACGACAATACTCTCGGCTTGCGACATAACCTTCCCACGGACTGTACTTTTCCCGCTGCAAGTACAGTCTACGGACTAAATATTGACTATCCAATGTCCAGGTTGCGATCAATTGGCAATTCTAATGGCAATTTTCGTATGAATTAAAAAAAAAGGCCATTAAGAGTACAATTTTGAACTGTACTCTCGAACGTAAAACGTAAAACATCGAATGCTTTACTCCAAATAATGAGTCTTTCATTTGCATCGATTTCTATGGACTGTACCGACGATGACGCGGTACAGTCCGCAGGATTCTAATTGACAATAATAGGCTGCAATTCTCACTCGATTTTTGACTCGTAGAATAATTAACGAATAAAAATTCCCGTTACTCGACTCGACGACGCGTCTCTACACCGCTTTTTTCACGAGCCTCTCGACGTAGCAACGCCGTTGAACGTAAACATTGCGATCGAGAGACGCATCGAGCGGGGACAAAAGAATTTCGACAGACTGTACGCTGCGGCGGTGGCGGCGGCGGCAGTTGTATTGACCGCAGTTGTATTGTTCCTCGCGGCTCCTTGCTGTGGCGTGAAGTAACGTGTTTCGGCGGGGAAAAGAATTGTGGACGTAGGTGTGGTGTGCACTGTGAAATTGACGAATCGCGTCCGGGAAAATCTTGCGACCACCGCCAATCCATCAATCGAGAATCAGCCGATGCTTTAACGGTCGCGGCAAACCGTCCCGGCTGCTCAACGACGCCGCGATGTCGACAATCCGAAAGCGACGACGCTCGTCGTCGAATTGATTTCATAATGAAATTCTTAGAATTTAAGAAACTCCGTGCGGATGACCTCTCCAGGATGCGAGCGCGTGATCACACAGCTGGATGCGAGCTTTGAGAGAAGTTCGAACTTTACGAAAGCGACGATCGGTCGCTCTCTTGTCACGTGGTCCGCATTTTTTCGTATACGTCACAAGTCGCGTGCGATTTAAATTTCCGCGTCGTCGTCTTTATCGCAAGGATGGGTAAAACGAGAGGTGTGCATGAGACAACTCCCGAATTGAGGAATCGGATGGTGGGAATGTACGAGGCCGGTCTTGGTCTGCGAGAAATCGCGGCCGCGGTCAATTGTTCGGTACATAATACGTCTGGACATGTTTTTTTTAGCAGTTACATTGTTATTATTATGTTATTAATATTTTTATTTACAACTGAAGTACTTGATATATTATATATCAAATAATCTTACTTTTCATCCATTTCTAAAATGTAAACATTTTGGCTTTTGTACACTTTGTTGTAACATAATGTAGTAAAATTGTAACACTCGTTAAGTGTATCATAATTGTTGCAGCAACGTACGGTAAAGAGATGGTTAAATAGATTTGACAAGGAAGGTACGGTAGAAACACGGGAGCGTTGTGGTCGTAAAAGAGCCACCACAGTAGAACAAGATGAAGCAATTATTCGTCTGGCTACGCAAACACCCATCACTGCAGCAAAGGCTGTACTTCCAGCGTTAGGTTTGACCTGTTCAGTGGATACAGTGAGAGAAAGGCTGCATAAGGCTGGAATTCATAATTGGAGTCCTTCGCGCAAATATATGCAAAGGATTCCATTAGGGTTAGTCAAATTGATTTCATTTTCAGCCTTTAATTCCTATTATTTTCACTACATCTCTTCTGATCATGCGTTTATCTTTCAACAGTGATGCGGATGGCGCGG